GTTATGAGCTTCTAAAGTCCCCTTGGGCTAGAAAATTTATATCCTCCCCTAAAAGGTAAATTTGAACTTGTTCTCCACTTTATGTATTTTTCACTCAATATATTTGCTGGAATGAGGAAAAATGACTCCCTATTAATGTTTGTAGTGTGTATAATACAAAAGGTAGGTAGAAATGTTAAAATGACCATTGCATGATGTCTGTAGAAGTTAATTTCCAGAGTTTTTCTGAAAGTAAACAAGTATCTACAACATCGGTCCTTCTTTTCTGCAAGAAGAAAAAGTGCTACCACCCTTTTGAGTTAATCCATGGAGACTCAGGATGTCCTTTAAACAACACCTGAAGTATAATATGATAGCAAATAAATTTACACTGGGTATAACTTGAATAGTCCCCAAGAAAAGTACATTTTGCATAGAGCAATCGTCCTGGACCAATCCTTGACATTTTTCTTGGTGAATTGGGGCTGAAAATATTTCACAAGACACCTCTCATACCTAGGAACACTATCCCAAGGAAATAAACAGAGGTCCTATTCATACAAGGATCTGAGACCCCCAGACCTTTCTAGGCCTGATTTGGAAATCTCTCTGTCATGCTTCAGTGAGCTTTGTGGGCCATTTGAGAAGCATCTGTGCCCAAAACTCAAGAGATAGGTAGAAGCACTTGGCATGGACATTTCAAAACACCCATATTAACTGTAACCCCTTGGAAGCAGGGTTTCTGGGAACCATATTGACTATATGTCTCTTAATTTTCACAGTTTCTTGAAGTTTTATTAGCCATTAAATGCTTTATTTCTGGCAATGTGGTCAAATCAGATCATGGAACAGTAATAGTTATGTATATGTACAATACTATGACAATAGATACCTTCTCCTATCAATCCTGGGCAATATTTGCAACTGCAAATGTCCAAGGAGGGGAATCAATTCAAATTCACTTTTTTGGGGAGACTATAGAATTTTATATCTCAGAGACTTTATGGGGCTTATGACAATAGCAGGGAGATTGAGTGTTTAAAATATTTCTGCTTCAAATTGTGAATTGCTTCCAGTAGGTTGCAGTCATTCAGAATTTCCCATTTTGTCAAATCCCATTTTTGGAAGTTGTCACAGTGAATGCTCTGCCTTATCCTGAGTTTTCATTCATTCATCCCCAGACTTGGTATGTACAATCTCCACCTCCTTAGCTATGTCTTATACACCAGAGCTTAGTTCTGAAAATGTTTGGTTCTTGTGTTACAGCACCAACCCTGTCCAAAAAATGACCAGACATTCTTTTTTCCCAGTTAGTGTACATATGGACAACATTTTTACAAATCAAAAACTGTTCCTTCCATCCACCTCAGTGTCCCAGCCTCAAAGCCGCCAAACGAAAAAAAGCGAAATTAGCGTCTACTCATGCTACTCATGAATGTCACGAAGTGAACGACCAGTGTGCCTTTGGCTAAAGCTGCGAGAACGCAAGCGAGTGGAAAGCGGTCCATCGCGTACTGATGGTCTAGTATCTATCCTTGAAACAGCCGAGGATGAAAGACATGGATTGTGCAAGGTGGCACGTTTCTGGGATAGAGCCGTCTTCGACGGAGCACTGGCAACCTCTGAACGCAGCTGACGAAGACGGTCAATCGCGTTATGATCTTGTTCCAAAATGTGTGCAGGCAGGGGGGGCACAGGAGGGACGGGAGTAGAGTTCCTCTTAACAATATGACTACGTGGGCGCGGAATTGCCGATTCCAAGATGTGAGTTGGGAGCTCTGAACATGGCGCGGTGGGAAGCATCTTGGGATTCCAACCCAATATAGCTGGGGAACTGGGGTAACGCTTGTGGATACGCCGATATGGGGGTGGATGCGGCTTGCCATCGGCCACAGTGGTCTTACGAACAAGGCTAATCGAACTGCGAACCGGAGGTGAAAGTTGCAGAGTGATGTTTTCCGACGTAGGACTGCTACCAGGAGACGCTGGGATAGGAATATGCATCGGCGACATCTGGACTTCCGGCAACTGGAAAATGGGCGACAAGGCTGGCATCGTTTGGCGTTTTGCAGCCCGTTTGGCCAAAGGTTGGATGGAGAGACGCGCTAGGACTTTGCTAAATGCCTTTGAAGACCTTGAGGCTCGTTTGGGAGTGGTAGGGTGGACCTTCTTCAACTTCTTCCTGTTGCCCTCTCGCACCTTGGCTTCTTTCCATTTGTTGTATTCCGTTGCTAGTGAGTCCTCCGAGGCCTCCGGCGTAGGGAGATCGCTGCTAGACGGCGAGGTCGTCATCCCCGCAGGGTCGACAGGGTGTGACGATTGTATAGGTGTCGTCGACATGAGTGAGCCCTCATCAGATTTCTGCTCCTCCCATTCGACGCTGGGGCTGAACGACATTGCGTACCGCTTTACATCAGTTTTGACCGGTGGGGGCGGAGACCTCCATGAATCTTGACTGTAGAGACTCGAAGTGGAGATCGCGCTGCTCTTGGGTTGTGTGCCAGCTAACATAGCAACATTCGACGGCAATGCGCTCGCGGTCCATAGTGTAGAGGAGACGTCTGATGACGAAAGCTAATATGAAGACGATTAACTCTTGAAGTGGGGTCATATCATAGAAGATACCTGGCCATAATCCGCCTGGTTCCTCAGGTCGGTTTGCACTCGGAAGAGAAGAGACCTCTGCGCGACCAGCGGCGATAAAGAGAGGCTCAGGCGTTGGGCGTTGGGCCGCACAATTCCTTTAGTATATGGGAAATCCATTGAGCTGAGTGTTGTCGAGGTGGGCGACCGGCGTCCTGTTCGTTAGAGTCCTGGCTCTGGAGAGGACCAGCTGAGAAATGGCCTGACATCTTCGCCGTTGTTTGGCAAAACCTGTGAGGTGTTGCCGCCTTTGGACGAGGTTGAAAATTAGGGCGTCATACTTAGCGCAGTCCCGATCTCAAGTTCAACCACAGGACTGCTGGTGATTAATCTCGCAAAGGAAAGAAGCCTCCGAAGATCTATAGGACAGCAAGAGTATAAAATACAGAAAAATACACAACGTTCTTTACTTCGTAACTTCGCTCGGTTGTATCCACCTCATGCATTCCCAGAACAAACCGCCTCAACCCACTCGACATCGCTCCTGACAGTGGTCAAGTTCTCGTGTCCCGTCTCCGTGATCACCACAACATCCTCAATTCTTACACCTCCAACACTCTCGTATCTCTTGAGGACATCATGGTCGATGTGCTTGGAGCCGCGTACGGCAGCTAGCAGATGTGGAGAGAAATAAATCCCCGGCTCCACCGTCTATATCACACAAAAAAATTGACAGTTAGGAAACTACACTTCTCTGGCTGGCAAAATCACACTCACCACGACCATGCCAGCCTTTAGCGGAAGCCTCAGTCGTAGGTAGGTGTAAAAGCTCTCGTGCCCAAGGACAGCAGGCGAAATAGTCTTGTTGACGACCGGTTTGCTAGCGCTTGGAACATCGTGCACGTCCATGCCAAGTGAGTGGCCAACTCCGTGCGGGAAGAAGGCGGCACTGATGCCTGAGGCGAGGATAGCCTCTTCGGAGTTCCAAGACCCTGATCCGGGGGACGAAGGGCTCTTGAAGATCCCAAGGGCCTGGAAGCCTTGGACGAGGGTCTGGTGGCAGATTAGCTGGATGGCGTCCCAGTGAAGCCCCGGTTTGAGAGCTTCGAAGGAAAGCTACACGGAATTGGGCCTTAAATAAATGGGGAAATTTAGAGGAAGGAAGGCGTACCTTCTGCATTTTAAGCACCAGCTCGTAAATTGCGCGGGCTTCTGGGGTGAACTTGCCGCTGTTCCCAACTGGCATCGTACGCGTAATGTCGGAGGCGTAACAATTCCATTCGCAGCCAGCGTCGATGAGCAAAACTTGCGGGTCAAGCTCCTTGGTGTTTCCTTGACGCAGTGCATTACTGTTGTGGTGTTCGTGAGGTTTCACGGGCCCCCATGAGAACTCGCGGTCGTTGCAGCAGTAGTGCAGCGTCGATGCTCTTGTGGAAGCGGCTACGATCAGGGGATAGGCTTGGTGAATAGATCTGTCAGGATGTATCAGACACTATGAAGCCGAAACATTGATATTAAATTGAGCTCACCCTTCTCTCCTGCACGAAGCCACAAATATAGCTTCTGCCTCGGCCTCTTTCTCTATAAGCCATTCCCCAGGGAGCAAAGGTCTGTCGACGCCAGCACCAGGGCCAGCTTGGAGCTTGCCCTTGACAGCCTGTCCAAGCACACGCATGACAACTTCGTGTGCGCGGCTGCTGATCTCATTAGCCTTCCTAATTTCCGCAATCTCATCTGGGTCCTTTGTCAACCGGGCGTGGTGGAGAGCTGATAAGAGGTAGGCATCGGTTACCGCTCCGCCTTCAGTAGCCAAGATGGGCTGCGTGAGTCCTTCTGAAAGTGCGGGGAACAGCGGGGATGCCTTAGGAAGGGTGTGGAATAAAGATCCAGGGAATGACTTCAATAGGGAGGCTATTGCTTCTGGGAGTTGCTCAGGATGGGCAACGCGAGAAACATCGTGCTTTTCACTTGCTTCCTCGAGAGACGGGGGTGGGACGGACCACATGATGTCTGCGAGCTGCGCTTTTGGAATGAAAAGCTCGACGGAGGGTGTTGAAGCTCCGGGTTGATAAACCGCTAGAAGGAGAGAAGATGGCACGGAGCATCCAGACAGGTAGTAGAAGTTGGATTCTTGACGGAAGATGAGCTCGCGGTCGGTATCATGGCGGTATCCTACTACTTCTCCAGAAAGAAGAATTATTTGAGGCTAGTTGAACTTGTCCTCAGAAAGCTATTGGAAAGATAAGGTCTATGGTACGGACCTTGGATTGCTCAGCTGCGGGTAAGAGTTTGAGCAAGTTCTCAAAAGTTTTGACGACATGTTGGCGAGCTATAAAAACGAATTATAAGTAGGAGCGAATACCGTAGAATGAACGAACCTGGATAAACCATTGGACGAGCCCTTGAATTGAGCAGTTTTTGACAAGGCTGTTAGGCGAATTACGTATTATGTAATAGTCAACGAAATATTCTCACTCAGCTCTCCTTGCCTTGACTCCTCATCACCGTTGACAATGGCAAAGAAAAAGAATAAGCAGGTACGCTTTACACAACATCTAATGCTAGCCATCTTTTCTGATCTTTCTGTAGATCATCCGACCTTGGTGCTGGTATTGTGAGCGGGAGTTTGAGGATGAGAAAGGTGCGTCGTCGCACGGCATCTCCGACGCTTTTCTAACCGTTTTCTAGTCCTAATGCAACACCAGAAGGCCAAACATTTCAAATGCGGCATGTGTCCCCGTAGGCTCAATACAGCTGGAGGCTTGGCAGTTCATATCCAACAGGTTCACAAACTCGAACCAGAAAAGTCAACTTGCCTCTTTTGCCGGCTTGAATAAATACTAATGATTCTTTCCCTATAGTCTTCCCCGTATCGAGAACGCACTACCTGGCCGCGACGGCTACGAAGTCGAGATCTTCGGAATGGTCGGCATTCCCGCACCCGATGTGGCAGATTACAAGCGTCGCAAAGAAATCGAACTCGGGCTCTCAGCCGGCTCCATCTCCCAGCCCCCGCCCAAGCGGGCCAAGATTGAGAACAGGCCCCTCTCGGAATCGGAGCTCAAAGCTCAGTTGGAGGCGCACAAAGCCTTGATGGGTAATTCACAAGGTGCAGAATCGTCGGCTGCAGCATCAACAAGCGATGCGAGCATAGGAGCGGTATACGGCGCTGCACCGCAGGCGTACGCTACCCCTCCGCCTCCGATGAGTGGTGGGCCCCCACCCCCAGGCTTCTTTGGTGCTCCACCCCCTGGCTTCCCATCAGGCGGCCCACCCCCCTTCCCGCCCCCATTTATGGCGGGCTTCCCACCTGGGTACGTTCTCCTTCATTCCCCTACTCTCTAATTAACACCTGTTTCCCAATTTAGCCCCCCTCCCCCAGGATTCCCTATGCCACCTGGTTTTCTCCCGGGCGGCCCCGCCCCACCCTTCCCCCCAGCTGGTGCTCTCCCCCAGTTCCCGCCCCCCCCCTTCATCCCAGGTGCGAGCGCGACTCCACCCATCCCCCCTTTACCGCCTCGAGGGCTGCCTCCACCACAGTTCATACCTGCCCAACAGCAGCCGACGCCGACTTCGACACCTCAGCCACCTGTTGCCCCTCCCCCCGTTGGGCCACTCGCTCCTTCCGCTGGTGGGCCACTTCCTTCTGCTGGTGGACCTACCTCTTCCGAAAGTCAAGGTCTAACGACGGAAGTTCGACCTGCGGATCCCCGTCAGGGAGCAAGCCAACTTATTCATCCTCCGAGACAGCTAACGCTGCCTAACCCAGCGCTTGCGCAGGTTAATCCAGAGTTCAAGAAACCGACCATCCTCAAGTGGTTGGATCCAAATTTCTCACCTGTGAGTCGCTGTTTTGGCTTCGTTTCCTCACCCCTTCTGCTTCATCTGAAGACTGACCTTACTTAATTTGTAGGAGGAACAACGCTCAATCCACCCTACGTACTTTAACTTCGTCGCCATCAGCAGTTCCGAAGAGTCGAAGGGTAAGAGTTTGAAGAGGGCCAGAGCTGAGGATTTCTTGTAGGTCTCTCCATGTCTGGGTGAGATCTTCGGCGACGTTGAAGGTATGTTTTCCTTTTGCTCCTAAATATCATACTCCAGCTTACCGTTGTTTAGGGCTGATGAAAACGGCATTGCGCCCTTGTGACTCTCACCAGTCCGTCCCACCCATCCATCCCACTCCCTGCCGTTGTGTGCTCGTCGTGTTATGCTTATCCCTGCTTCCTTCTTTGTCCAAGTTTCTCCCTTCCTTCCAAAATAACCCACCAACATTCACTTTTAGCTGAAACTCGAAAAAAAATCGTAGACACTAAACTCTGAACGGAAGAGTCAGGACAGCAGGTAGGTACCCGTCTGTCCGACATTACCATGTTTACGTATGTACCCTCTTTTTAAAATTTCATCCATTGTGTACGGTTGGTGGTCCTTTATACAACGTCTGCAAGTATGATGCTGATTAGATAGTTCACTGACGAGACTGACTGGTTGATTGCGCGCGTTGGGGGATATCTCGTGATGAACTCTGAGTAAATGTGATGCTAGGATACATGTGGTGTTCTCTGCCTTGCAAGTTGGAGAGGGCAGCATGGCAACTGGGTGTAGAACCTGGTGAGCGAAATAATAATGTTGTTCCAGGCGCTCAATGTACGTCGCCGTTGTAGCCTCGCTAGCTCAACTTTCACAGCTGTCTAACGACTGTATTTGAAATCGATTTCTATTAATTACAGTGCTTCCTCTCTCTCAGCTCAAGTTCTGAAAGACGTGAGTCGATGAGAAAAATGAGGACCTCGGGCTATGTAATGTCCACAGCTTTTGTTACGAATTCGAATACGCGACATGGGAGATCAGTTGTCCTAACCGGATGCTCGGGTGGTTGCCCCTTGCTGACAAAGGCCCAAAACGCGTCAGCTGCCAAGGGTCACAGCAAGGTCACAGGCTGCAAAATGGGCTCAGCGCGCAACACCCAGACTTGAACCACGACCAATATTGGCAAGATGTTGCTAGGCTTGCATCACCTCATTCCAGCATTTCTATTACCCACAGGATTTTTTCCGCCTGAACAAGTTGTTTTCGAAACACAACGCTTGAACAACACTGGACTACCAGTTCCCAATCCTACACACTCATTCTGGATAGATAGTCCCCAAGCGAATCCTCTTGCCAAGGAGGGCAGCTCTGGCCCGTTAACCAGAGACGCGGACGTCTGTATAATTGGGGCTGGTATCACTGGTGTCAGCTCTGCGTATCACTTGGCTCGGAATCTAGGGACAGGCAAAATGGTTGTGATTTTAGAGGCGAGAGATTTCTGTGAAGTATCTCAAAACATCTGCGTTGAAATTCTGGGCTGACTTGAAGCGGTAGGTTCAGGAGCGACAGGTCTGCTACCGTTTTCTTCGCGGCGAGAGTCTGATTTATATTTTGTGGAGCAGGGAGGAATGGCGGTCATCTGACGCCCCCCGTATTCATTGGATTTTACGACCGACAGCAAAAGTACGGCACGGAAGAAGCAAAAAAGTCGTACGCACTGGAAAACTACGTTTCCTCGAAGCTCCTGAAAATTATAAAGCAAGAAGGGTGGGATGAAGATTTAGACTTGGTGGAAGGAGGGCGTATAACAATGTTCATGACAGAAGAGGAGGAGCAGAAGGCGAGGAGGGACTGGGAAACCGCAAGGATGGCTGGGCTGGAGAGGGTTGATGAAGTTAGATGGCTAGAAAGAGAGGAAATGCAGGCGGTCAGCAATAGTACTTTCTTTCTTATTACTATTCGCTAACTTTCAGATAACCGCTAGAAACATGGAACCTCTTTTCCCGGCACTTTTTTTCATAGTCATAATCTATGGCCGCTCAAACTTGTTTCGAAGCTATATTCTTTAGCCAAATCTCAAGGCCTGAACTCGGGCATCGATATCAGGTTGCATACCAGGACCCCAGTGACCTCAATCTCGCACATCAATAATGCAACATCCTCATCTGCAAGAAGATGGTCCTTGGCGACTCCACGAGGCCAAGTAAACTGTAGCTACGTCATACATGCCACGAACGCGTACGCCAGCTTCTTGCTGCCTCAATTGCGGGGAGAGGTGGTGCCGACGCGTGGGCAGGTGATAGCGATACGCCCGAATTTGGGAGCCCAGGTTGGTAGGAGCTCATGGCGCGGAAACGGAGGTTTTGAGTATTGGTTCCCTCGATACCGGCGGGAAGAGGAGCGTCCATTGGTGATTCTTGGAGGAGCCAGGGATGTGGCACCACGATTTGAGAAGGATGAGACCGACGATTCGGTTTTAAATGTTGAAGTCGGGAAGGCTCTGAGAGGGTTTTTACCCCCACTGTTTCCGGGGATGTATGACCCCAATCAAGAAGTCGAGTGGGAATGGGTGGGTGTTCCGAGTTGTAAATTCGGGGTGAAAGTCTAACTGGTTTCGTTTATTAGACGGGAATCATGGGATATACAACATCAAGCGCACCATTTGTGAGTCATTTTGCGTGGTTTCTTGATTTTGCTTTGCTGATGTTGTCAATGCCAGGTTGGCCCAGTTACCGACGGCATTACGAGCACAAGGGTGGAAGAGTACGAAGGTCAATACATTGCTGCTGGGTATACTGGGCACGGTATGCCCCGTGCATATGCATGGTGCGTTTCTTGCACTCCAAAAAATCAATCTAACTTCTATCATTTACAGTGCGGAAGTAGTGGCTAGCATGATTACCGCTGATCTCTCAGGAAGAGGTAACGAATGGACGGCACCTGCATGGTTCCCTCGACATTACTTGATGGGACATAACTCAAGTGCATAACATTGCGTCGTTCAAGTCTTAACGTTCCCATGCATTTGTTGTACCCTAATTGTTGCATGAATTTTGAATACCATCAATGCCCAATTTCGATCATTCGATACGTGTATTCTGCATATTTCAAGACAATTTCAAATCCCAAAGCAACTACAAAAAGCTTTCCACGAGCCAAAAAAACGAAACAAATCCCTTCTCCAAGTACACATCCCCATCTACCCAAGAAGTTCAAGATACAAGGGCCCCTACTCAGGTATATCCGGGCCAGACTTCTCCATCTCGTTCGATATCCGCCCTTCCTCCTCGCCGCCATCATTCCTCACTTCACTGCCCTTCTCGTCCTTCCCGCCAACGACCTCACTCTTGCCAGTGATAAGCGGACTGCTCTTAAACCTAGTCCCTTTCGGCATGCTGCCCACTGGTCGTGTGACGTTTGCAGTAGACGCATCATTCACTCCCAGAGTTAAGTTTGCAATCGAGCTAGCGACAGATGGAGGTACGCTGGGAAACGAATTGCCAGAACTAGCAGCCGCCAACCGCCTTTTCCGATCAAGAAGGATCGCCTCAAGGGACGGGATTGGGGAGGTACTCCGAGGATCTACGGCTGACATAGCAGGAAGTGGGATCGAGAGATTAATTGGATCAGTGGCGACCGGTTTCAATTTCGTCTCGTCGACAGCCGATGAACCAATGCCGGCAAACGAAACGCTGGGCTGCTCAGCAACGACCGGGCGAACGTCGCCTGGAACAAGGAGGGGCTGGGGCATCTCTACGGCAGTGACCTGGCTTTCCATGGTTGGGTTCAAGGTCAACGCGGTTGTCGCTACAACGTCTCCGTGGGCCTGGGGGCCGATGTTGTTATTCTCAATATGTGGGACTTCGTCCCTCGGAACAGGAGGGGCACTACGCGAGCGTAAGAAACCGAGCCCCTTCAAAGCCATAGGTTTGAAAATTGGGGTCGGAGTCTTGATATTGGGAGAGATATCAACAGTTTCGACATTAATGCCAGCAGCAGTCCGAGCCTCGTGCGAGTGATCAACAGGAACCTCGTATGGGTCACCATGAGCGCCTTGGGGATCGAATTCATCATAGATTTCCTCTCCAATAAGTTCTGCAAAAGAAGTGTAAGCCAAATACTTGTGAAAAAAGGTAGCAGTAACGATTACCTTCGAGGACGTCTTCCAAAGTGATGATACCTAGAGGCATGACAGCGGGGTCGAAGTTTTGCAGGAACTATAATAAGAGGACGTCAACACCTGGAAAACAATTTATAATTAAAAGGATCTTTACATCCTCTGCATTCTCTTTAGCCAAGACCGCATCAGCGGGCATCCTCTGTTCAAGCATAGACATGGAAGCCATCTCCATCGCAGCAGCCGGTAACTGGAAGGTTGTAATTTTGTGCTTCTTGCCTTCCTCCCCAGCAGCAGGAATCGAATCGTTATTCTCTCCCTCAGGGCCAGAGCGAGACTTCTTTTCCTTGCGTGCGGATTTCACAACTGTTGCCTTTTCGTCCTTGTCGCTGGACTTTGCGAAATCAATCTCATTGATGCCGGGGGAGTCGCCTTCCAAAGTGGTACCATCGTCAGTCAAACCCTCTTCGATGTCCTTATTCCTGTTTGCGCGGCGTCGACCTACGCGTTTCTTCCTGTTGCCATCGGACTTTTCGTCCTCACTGGAATCAGTGTCGGAGTCTGTGTCCATTCCAACACGCTTGCGAAGACGCTGAGATAGGCCTTGTTTGACGGCTTTCTTTACGCTGGCTGCCTGTGGATGATACGAAGGTCAGTATGGTAGATTGGGCCAAGAGGGTTGAGAGGACCTTTTCGACGCTGAATCGGCTAACAATTGCCATATGACTTCTACCTTCCTGAAATTTGTCCAAGATACCCAGCAATGGCTCGTTATTGGGAACGAAAGGAACCTTGTTGAGACGAATGTTGCGAAGGGGTGTGGCATCTTAACAGGTACCAGAACGTCGGTTTCAAGTTTAACATGATTGATGTTGAGGCAATTACCTTTGGGATCTAAAAGCACGCATTGTTTGACTAGAAGAATACCAACAATCTTCTTTACACGTTGAGTACGTGGTTGCCCCTGTGCCGGTGTGATTGTGCCATTGGGCGCGATAGAAGACACCAAAACATCTACTTCCTCGTAAACTGGAATACGACTGTGCCCAGTTGCGCAGACCTTTGTGAGGGTGTTGTAATCGAGCTTTGAATCGATTGAAAGCATAAAGACGTCGCTGATAGGAGTCATTGCCTGATCGAATGATATTTAATTCATGGATATAGCGTTCAATATTCGACTGACCTGTTTGACGACCTTTTCTTGAAGATCGAGAGTTGCCCCGATGATGGTGACGGTGTCGGTCTTCAGGTCTCCACCATGGGTGGCATGCGAGGAGTGCATTGCAATAAGTTCCTTAAGCTCTGAGCAGACAGCACACGTGAGAGTGATTCTCTTAATATCTACCCGACTTACCTGCGCGTCTGTAAATAATTCCGTGGTGTCTTCCAAGAACGAACTCAAGGAATTTGGCAACCGGCCATGCAATGATTCCCTATTAAACGCTAAGATCAACTACCGCTGCCAATTAAAAAGAAACAAAAGTCTCACCATCGCGTAAATCAAGAACCGTGTAAATCCCGCCATTTTCGCGCCCAAGTAAAGACCATGGCGGGTAAAGAGGGATTGAGGAATGATTTCCGCGAAGCTAGTTAATTTTCTCGGAAATTAGCAAACCAAACAAAAGAGATATGACCAATCGAAATGGAGCACGATGTGATGTGATTCCTTGAACGGGTGGAGTGGCTTCGCAACACCGCAGAGCGATGGTAGGAAAAGACTAATTAAGAGACTGAAGGGGTGTGTTCGCAGAATTGCTGGGGTGTGGGCAAGGAGGTGCAACATGCCGATGCGGGGGGGATGATGATTCTTACATGACGATGAGAACAGTGCTGACAACGACACTGGGCACGCCGCCTCCCAAGACTGGGTCTGCGATGACGGGAAGACTCTCGTTGACAATCATGTTGGCCAGAAGGAGGGTAACAAGCAGCAAATGACCGTTCTTTCGAACAGGTTTAATCTTGTTTGCATACTCCTTCTGTTTACTACAGCAAAAAGGAATTAGTGAAGACGGCGGCGATTAATGGGAGATTTACGGGGTGCCACTGATGCTCAGTACATTTAGCTGAGTCTCATCGAGACTCATATAGCCCAATGTTAATCCGGCAAATACACCCGACAAGAGCACAAGAACTGGGATGAGGATGACGAAGAGGATTTCCTTAGGAGTATGGGGGTCGAAACGCGTGGATCTGCGTTCAGGAGGGTTGACAGTGGCGCCGTCGCGGCGCAGGAGGCGCTGAACATGTTGTGCGGATAGAGTGAGGAGAGTATAGAGCAAACGGGAAGAGTGGGCGTGACGGAGAGAGGCAGGAACAGGGACCATTCGAGAGGGGAAAGAGCAAGAGGCACCAGCAGATGGGAATTCCATTATGTATCCGTAATTGCGTCACATGCTATGCCGTCATGCACGGACCCTCAAAGTCCACCCTCCGTTACCTTGGAACAGAAAAGTAAGAAACGGGCGCTGGCCAGGCATTCGAGAGGATATTAGCCACGTTTAGAGTCTTCTTGTGCAATAACCTTTAGAGAGCGCTTGTTCTTGGCTCGCGGAGGTATTTATCCGTTATTTGTACTTGTTATAATTAAAAGTGTGGGGACGTGTCCTAGATGCCGGGACCCGGTTTTTTCAATGGATCACGAATGCTGTCGTCAAGAAATTTTATTTTCTTTGCTGGACGTTAACGTCGTCCCATTGCTCTGTCCTTACGCCAGCAGATGATTGGGTCGCTTATCCAGCGACGGCCTAGATTATCATTCCAATCGCTTCGAACATTTTCGCGTGTTGCAGAACCTCGGCTGCAAAAGTCATCGCGTTTCGCAAAGTATGCTCGAAGAACCGGCTACCTTTGCGTCGGACTGGGAACAGTATGGGCAGTTGACAAGACATACAACGCCTCTTCGATAATCCGTAACCTTAGAACACTCTGGACCGTAAGTCCTGTCTATACCGGATCGTTCAACGCAAGCACCCTAACTTCTCCTTCTCAGTGCGCCGCCATTACCTGGGATTATAAATGGAATTTCACACCAGAAAAGACTGAACTTATACCCGAGCTTCATGAGCGCGTTGCGGAACGCATGTATAACTTATTGACCTCGAACGGTGGCTTATACATCAAGATCGGGTACGTTACATTTCTTTCCTTCCTACTGTGACGCCGAGCTCATCCAACCCCAGGCAGGCAATCGGAGCAAATGCAGCGTTACTCCCGAAACCTATGCAAATCAAATTTGCTAGTCTATTTGATGACGCCCCGCAAATCCCATATTCTATTGTCCACGACGTTATTGTGTCAGAACTTGGTCGCCCACCAAGCGGACCCGGCGGGGTTTTCGAAAATTTCGAAGAAAAGGCTGTAGCAAGTGCTAGTGTCGCGCAGGTGCACAAGGCAAAACTATGGCCGCGGATCGGGCCCGACGGAAAGGAAGAGAAGGAGGAACGATGGGTGGCGGTCAAGATTCAAAAGCCGGATGTGAGTAAACAGATGGAATGGGATCTAGGCGCCTACCGGATGGTAATGTGGATGTTTGAACACTGGGCATTTGACTTGCCAGTATACTTTGTTGTCGGTACGCAGTTTCATTTTGGAAATATCCGAGATGGTGCTTGACCTTTTCATAATTGCTAGATTTTATCTCGGACCACCTGCGACAAGAATTGGACTTTATCCGTGAAGTAGACAACGCTCGACAGACGGCAGAGTTTGTTTCCAAGGAAGCCAGACTCCGAGATCGAGTCCATATTCCTGTGGTCTACCCGGAGTATTCTACGAAGAAAGTTATGGTCGCGGAGTGGATCGACGGTGTGCGGCTGAGCGATAAAGCGGGAATATACCGCCTAATGGGCGAGCACGATCCAAACCTCAATCAAGTCGGCATGTCAGCGGACCCTCTCTCGGCATCAGCGCTCGTCGCATCATCACCTTCGTCAACTCAGTCTTCCTTCATCTTCCCGGACAAACCTCTAAAAGGCGGCGTGCAGTCTATCATGCAGACCATGGTCGAGCTGTTCTCGGCCCAGATGTTCGACTGGGGCTGGGTGCATTGTGATCCGCACCCCGGAAACGTCCTAGTCCGGCCTTCTCCCTCTGACCCTCGACGCGCGCAGTTAGTCCTCATCGATCATGGACTCTACGTTCGCGTTCCAGAAGACTTCAAACGAAATTGGGTGCAATTGTGGAGATCAATGCTAGCTGGGGATTACAAGGGCGTGGAAGAGGTGACAACGAGCTGGGGGATGGGTCTTCCGGACCTGGTGGCGAGCTTCACCTTGATGAAGCCTGTCATTCTGACCAAGGGGAGGAAGAAGAAGGAACAGAAGGAGGGCGAAGTGAGGAAGGACTTGACGCAGTACGAAATGAGCGTCAGAATGAAGCGGAAGCTGAAGGAATTTCTGACGGACACAGATCGGATGCCAAAAGTTTTGATTTTCTTGACGAGGAATATGCGTATGGTCCAAGGTATGTCGTCCCTGCCTAATCATACAGTCCTTTCCTCAAGGCCCTGTCGCAGGAAACAACCAATCATTTGGCTCACCTGTGAATCGTATTAAAATCACAGGCTTCTGGGCATCCCGGTCTCAGATTGGGAATTCAAACTTGACTATTGGAGAGCGCGTCAAGGAGTGGTGGCATGACCTTGTCTTCCGCGTTGTGATGCTTACCCTGGACTTTTCGTTCTGGAAAAGCCGCTTCTTGAGGTGGTTCAGGAATCTGCGAGTCAAATTTCATCTAGGGGGTGGGGTTTCTCGTAGCGGTGGTTTTGAGGATGAGTTAGAACGGACTATGAGGGATTTCGCAAAGGATAATTTGGGCATTAATGTCGGGGAGGGCGCGTTTGCTGGTTGATAGAAATGTAAGAAGTACTTTACAATTTTGATAGTAACATACTGTAATTCTGCTGAACTAATTGAATACCGCTTGCAACTCACATATCACGTATATATGGTCGATTTGGTCTCTGCATACATATTTTCACTGAGTATACAACACCTTCAATGTGAAATGTGACCTGTCCTGCAGGAATGAAACGTAGGTGAAGGAGGGTACAAGGGCTTTCGTGGAATAACAACAGCAGATTGAACCGAGAACCGACGATGATCACTTATTGTTCAACATTTGGCAAGATAGTTGGTCAACGCCGTCTTCTCGGCGCTATCAATTGTGAGCGAGTAGTTGTGTTTGACGGTCACCCAAGCTCGGACGTATGTGCAAACGAAACTGGCCAAAGGCGGCACCCATTTCGCGACGTCTGCAGAGAACAAAAAGTAAGTAGGTGATGCAAGAAGTCGCGGCAAGTCAACAAACCCTTGTCGCCTGTCGTTGGTAAAAGAGAAATAAGTACGACACAGCAGCTTTCATGATTTTCTTACCTTTCGATCGGTTCGAACTGTTTCGAAAGTAGTATGAATCAATCGATCATACCAGCGTGATGCTTGACTTACCCACTGGAGACGGCTACCAATTGGGGTCGAGTGAGGTCATTAGCGAATGCTTCGCGCTGAGCGGCGGTCCAGTCTCGCGCCCCTGAAACCCATGCCTATTACGTCGATGAAATGAAATAGTCGTCTCAAGAAAGTAGCACCACTCCTGACCTCCTTGAGTGGGACGACGTGGTCCTAAAGAATTAAAATTCTAGAGAATCTTTTAACAAAGATGGGAAAAGACCAACAATGTCGAAACTGCTAGCGACAGTCGTGGAGACGCCATCATATGGAGAGACCCAGTCGCCGGACGTCGCAGTGCACGCACTGTCAGTCACGACATTGGTACCATCGCGAATTAAAACAGCTACGTCAGAAAACGTGAATGATTAGCAGGTAGATTATGTCGGTGAACAGCTTACTTTCGCGCGTATCGCACTTTCCTGAAACTGAAAAAATATGTTATCATACGGGAGTCCAGGACTAAATTTAGTGAGCTTACTGGTATCCCATAACTTGAATGCCGAACGTGCATACGCAGGGCTGTTTGAATCGACGGCGACGGTCACTGATATATCCGCGTAAGAACGACAAAATATAGATAAATCGTTTGACGACGTACACTGTGATAGATACGTTTTCGCTGTTGCGGTGCTCACAGGTGTTGGCAGGGCGCGTGGAAGCGGTGCGGCTATGGCTGCTGCAACGACGGCAAGAAATGTCAGACTGGCACCACGCATGATTGAGGGGTAAATGGGGTGTTGGTAAGATGCAAGCGTAAAGAACCAACGTTCTAAGGCCACGTTTTATACTAAAATTCCAACAGTCGCGGTACTACTGGTCGGGCGTTGCTTCCAGTTACCTCGGAGTTCTCCTTAGTCCGCATGACGAGCATGGTAAGATTAGGTCGGACCTGGTTGCTGTGTAGCAGTCTGGCGGTAGCCAAATCCGAAAACACCTGATCACGGGCACCATGCGAGTAATCTTAACTTAATAACTCTGCCACCTTGCTGCCACCAAGTACGTGATTAGAATTTTTGAGCTAAGCTGCGCTTTCTCTCGGTGGACTCGTCTTGCGGCCAAATCCATTTTTATCTGAGAGCTGGCGGTCAACTTGAAGTCATGGCATCGAGAAGTTTAGCTGCAGTCATTTTTAGTCACCAAGTCCTCGTCTCCTTGGCGAAGCTACATACGAAGCCTTGGCAGAGTGCACGAGCCTTGAGACGAAGTCCCTTGAAGGGGCTGCCGTTCGAACTTCGCGTAATGCATGGACAATTACCCAGACAAGTTCCACTTTTGAAGGTGGAGTATGTATTTGACGGCAGTGGATCTGAGAATGACTCCAAGGAACGGACTAAGTATGAGGAGAACAAGAGGAGAGAAGAAAGTGATCGTATTACATAATTTTACGTTTGTGCGTGCACATGATCAATTCTGTCCTAGCAATCGACTTGCGACGCTTGAGATTTTGATTGTCCTTCCTGAGGCGCGAAGGTTGAAATATGCGTGGACGTTTGCCTTAGGGAGATGTATATTTAGCGCAATCTCTATGACGCTGACCGTGCTCCTACTTACTTACTTTCTCTGTTAATCTGTGCAACGCCAAAATTTCAATGGGATGTTTAAGGACTCTACGAATATACACAACTGGCTTCTTCTGCTAACAACGAGAAACGTCACGGTGGATACTATTCAAGAACAAAATGAAGGTGGAGGTCGTAGGTTTAATGCAGAACTGTTTCTGATCCTCGCTGCTGGCTGCCCCTTTCGAGTTATTCAACAATTGTTTAGGTAATTGGTCAATGCCGTCTTCTCGGCGCTATCGATTGTGAGCGAGTAGTAGTATTTGACCTGAACCCAGGCGCGGACGTAGGTGCAAACGAAACTGGCCAAGGGCGGGACCCATTTCGCAACATCTTAAGAGTCCACAAATAAGTAAGTGGTGCGAGAAACTTGCGCGGACAGCACATACCTCTGTCTCCTGTCGTCATTACTCAGATTAATAGATGTGATACAGAGGGAGGATTGGTTACTTACCCTTGGACTGATTCAAGCTGTTCAATCAAGGAGAAAGAAGAATGAATAAACCACTCATGGTATGATCGCTATTCCAAACCACTTACTTGTCGGTGACGGCTACCAATTGGGGTCGAGTGAGGTCATTCGTGAACGCTTCGCGCTGAGCGTCGGTCCAGTCTCGTGCGCCAGAAATCCAGGCCTACGCACAAAATAAATCAGTCAGTCGGCTCAGAAAAAGGAGCCATGCGCCTCTGACCTCCTTAAGTGGAACCACGTGGTCCTGAAAAATAGGTATAAAAATCCGGAGAATTAGGTAAAAATATGTAGACACGAACAATGTCAAGATCGCTGGCGAGGGTTGTTGGGACGCCATCATATGGAGAAACCCAGTTGCCAGACGTCGCTGTGCACGCATTATTGGTGACAACATTGGTACCATCTCGAATTAGGACGGCTGTCAGAGAAAATTTGTATAAGTGGCGGAGATCGTCATGTCGACGAGTGGCTTACTTTCGCGAGTGTCGCAATTTCCAGAGACTAAGAAAAATCGTGACCACCATCCCTTGGACTATACTCTGCAAACTTACTGATATCCCATGTCTTGAATGCTGACCGCGCATATGCGGGGACGTTGGAATCAACCGTAACAGTCACTGAAAATCCGTGTCAGCAGCAGATACATCACCTAATTGATGAGATACTTACGTTGTGATAGATAGGTCTTCGCCGTAGCGGTGCTCACGGGTGTTGGAAGAGCACGCGGAAGTGGAGACGCTAACGCTGCTGAAACGATGGCAAAGAATGTAAGACTGGTGGCGTGCATATTTAAAGCGTAGAAGGGTTGTTGGTCGGTAAGATGCAGATGCAAAGGAGTTTCAAGACCACATTTTATAACAATTTTTCGACCATCGTCATCCTCATCGGACGTCGCTTGACTCGGAGTCCTTGTCAATCCGCATGACAAGCACAGGCCTCCACAGGACTAGTCTGGACTAGTTCGGACCTGATCAACGCCAGCATGGCAGAGCCAAGAAAGATAACATCTGATCAGAAGGTACCTTGCCAGAGCGTTGGCTAAAAGTTAACGATAAGCGTCGTTAGCATCACATTAGCTGGTGTGGCCAAGTAGAAGGTCCTTGACCGCGGAGGCCAGTTTGCCCTTCTTGTCGTAGCCTCCAATCCAAACTTGAGCACGGAGGCGGTGGACTTCCTAGAGGTACATTTGTGGTTATTTTCAGTAGCCAAAGTTGTCGTCTCCTTGGCATTTAGGTCCTTAAGCGATTCCGGAGCTGCAAAGCCTTGGCGGTGTGCACGAGCGCTGAGATAGGTTCCTATGATTGTTGCACGTTTGCTTGAACAATGGAAAATCAAAATAGCGGAACGTCGTACGCGAAGCCCATGAAGCACGTTCATAGATCTTCATAGGGGGTGCCAGGTACTGGTAGACGTAGTAGGGAGTCGTGCTATCAAGCGTGCTATTAAAATTAATACGTTGATTGACTATGTTGACAAATGATGTCATCGTCACAGCTCACGCTCATGACCGTGACTTGCTCGCCGCTCGCAGGTCTGATGCTGCCCTTCCCTTCCTCCTCACCATTTCTCTACAGTTGAAGGGAGTATAAATAGACCCTATACAGGAGCGCACCGTTGGAATACTACAAATCGACGGGATGCAGACAAAAAGTTTACATATGCAGTACGATCAACAAGGTCTTTACGGTAGTACCCAACGTCGTATTTTGAACTGATCGTATTCTACAAATCTGCTACAATATGTACACGAAGAGTAGTTAACTTAAATAGACGGGAAAGGTTTTACAAACTGCTTTCCATCCTGGCGTGGTTCGTTGCTAGATCCCCGTCCAAAGCGTATTCCATTTTCCTCGAACCCTCCCCCACAATCAAGGTCTTCTCGATGGTATCAGCCAGCCCACTTCGGATCGTCCGCGCTGTCTCTTTCATTCCTAGCCCCGCCTCCTCAAGTCCGCTGAGCACCGGCTCGTAAATGCTTCGATGCGTGGGGCCTACAACGCCTCTCAAGTGCACCTTGCCATCTAGAACGTTCAGGGCGGCGATGGCCACAGGAATTCCAACTGTACGCGCCATCGCTGAACCTTCAATGCCTCCAAAGGTGATCAGGGATGATGTATACACCGTTTCTGGCGCCCTGGGACCCAGGCCTTTCTCTCGTGTGATGACTTCGTGTGATAGGACGACCATGTCCCGCTCGTGTGGAGCATAGCGTAATTTTTCGCTGAGGAGATACGCAAAAAGATCCAGAGGTGTCATGGGACCGTCGGGGAGTGTGGGCATTCGAACTCTTGATAGAGAAAAGATGGTGGGTGGGGCAAGACCGAGCCATTCCAGCGCCTCGGTGAGAGCCTCAAGTTGACTGGGTCGTATGACCTCCTTGATGTCGGGAGGGTCAATTTGAGACGGGTAGCGAAGGCTCATCGCCTGTGACACCAGACTTGTCCATCCTTCAAGCCAAATTGTCTCGTTCCGCTCAAGGAGCCCCAGTGAAACAAACGAGTCCATTAAGTTTGAGAATCCGGGGTACCTGCAATGACAGCGGTTGAGTCCAAAGCCATCGGATAATCGAAAAGAGCCTCACCGCAGCGTACCACGAAGCATAGTTCTTTCGCCAAAAATTCCATAGGGCTTATTGTAAATTAAACTGTCTCTATTCGGAAGTCCTTCGAGTTTGAATTCGTCGGTGATTGGCACGTTAGGGAATTGGCTACGGAGAAGCTTTTCGCCGTAGACAGAGTGTACCTGTGGCATAGAGATTATGAGTGAAAAGATCAATTAGACGTTGTAATGCTGACGCTATTGTTAATTTTGTATCGAGCCGAGTTCAAAGCTGCAGTGAGAACCCCATGTGGCCTCCAGCTGAATTTGTATCGCAACGGAACGTTGGAGTTCTCGGGTGCCGGAAGTCCTCCACAGAAGGAGATAAAAGAGACAACCTCTTTGTTCTTCTGCTGAAGCCGGGAGACTAGGTCGAGATGAGAACAGTGGTCAATACCTGGATCAAGACCGATCTCATTTAATAGGAGAACATCTGCATGAATAGCACTGGATGAAGTCGGTTAGGTTGCGTATGTTCATTCGGCAGACTACAATAAAACTCACCGATCGTTCAGCAGGTTCATTTCGTCGGAAGTGTAAGACGCGGTCACCATGTGCTTACGGTGAAGAACACATAGCTCAGCAACATCAGCATGCATGGTGGCGGGCAAGAGGCTAACGCAGTTGCAAACATATGAGCAAAAATTAACATGCCAATGGCGCATGCATCAAACCTAATGACGACATCAGCATCTTTGACAAGGTGCTCATAACTTGATGTCTTTGACACGTCAATGATTCGGTATTTCACATTCAGATGTAATCCGACGAGGGTTTGAAGTTCCTGAAGCGAATTGCTCGCAATGACGAGCTCAACATCCCCCCTCTTGGCAATTGTGTTAACCGCAGGACCTGCAACCATGCCGCTGCCTAGCATCAAAACTTTCTTTTTGGTTCGAGGTGACTGGGGGACCGCAGTTGTTTCTGGCTCAGCCCGTGGTGTTGAGGCGATCGCCTCTGTGTATTTGCCGTTTGTCTCAGTCGTAGCGGCCTTGGCATGATATACATTGACTGCAGATTGCAACCACAAGTGCTTGTCCGCAAGTTTTCCTTCCTTAGCGATGGTAGCCTTCTCGAGGGCTGCAGTGAACTCGTCATTCTTCGACCCGTCAAAGGTCCCAATAAGACTTTCAAGGTAGGGAAGCAGAGATCGTGAGAAATGCTGAGAAGCATCGAGGGGTATAGATGCCGGGAGGATATCCACAGACATAATTTGAACAGGAGGATACTCTGCTGGGAGGCAGGTAGGCCTTGTCTTGAAGAATGGCGCAGAGAGTGTCGTTGCTTTCGTCATAAACTCAAGGCCGCCCTGAAAAGAATGTATCAATATATGGAGAATACGCGTAAGATCAGAACAAACCTCGACGTCACAGCTGATGTCGCCGATATTGGTGAATCGAGCTCCGCCTAGCTGCCGGGCACGTTCAAGAGCAACGGTTAGCTGTTCGTTGGTCATCAGCCGGGGGAAAGAGGGTGACCATCCTGTGCCATTCAGGAAAAGAGTAAGGTAGGGTGCGACCTAGCATACCAGATATCAGATAATGGTGGGCTTCCTGTTGATGATGCATGCATTCACCTTTTCCGCAAAAACGGAGATATAGGACTGCGGTGATGCATAATAACGCGCTCGGTCGTAAGGGCTCCCATCCACCCCAATAAAGTAGTCCTCTGGTTTGGCGTGTATGAGGTAGATCTAAGGTTTAGGTAGAGGACATGATTAGTGGAACACTGAAAAGTAGAGAATAAGCTAACCTTACGAAGGTCAGTTTCTAGGTGAAGTGACGGTTAGTTCATGATGTGTAAACTAGCTAGCCGCCAGGCTCACCCGGATTCTTAACAAGATCGTCGAGATCCGCGACGTTGACCATCTGGATAGGTAATTCAGAAAGCATGAACAAGCATCCTTCTGCAACATTTCCCCGCCTGAAATATGTGTCATTAGAGTAGTGACGACTGCATGCAATTTCAAAGAAAATACCCTGTGAGACCAATCACGAAGGGGCCCAGTTTAGGAGGAGTTCCCGACTTTGATATTGTGTCGCCAATTTCGCGCAAAGCAGCGCGAAGGCGTTCCAATGACGGGAGAGTGTGTGGCCGAGGGGTATACTACAGGGCAAACATCGTGACAGTAAGAGCAAGGTCAAAACCTTACAAGAATACACTGACTAGGAAAGGTGACGCTACACCGATCTCTAGGTGTGAATGAGCCATTGACGAAAGTGATTCGAGCACGCCGGCCACTATTGATTCCACAGAATTAATTGCGTTATCGTTTATAAGAAAATGATACTTACCCCCAGCAAACCAGCCAAAGCCAACCGTCCGCTTGCCATCAGTTCCATTCGTCAGCAGCTCATAGTCAATCAAACGGGGGCGCAGAAGCTTCGTGGTTTCCGTTTCATCGAGAGGGGCGACAAATTGAGAAAGCAGCGGGGTATTATAGGGCTGTCCCTTTGCCGTGTGGGAGAACATTAGGTGAGTTTGGTCGTTGTATGCTGTCGTGTCAAGGGGGTTGCGGCTCAAGTTCGCAAGTTGGTCCTTGAGCTCGGATAGCCGCGTTTCCTTGATGCCAAGTACAATGTTTGAAAGTGTGGGGTTAGATTCTACACGGGCTCCGGCCTGAGGAAGTGAGTGGGTGAGTTACTGATCACGATCAGGTGAAAGGATGGGAAAAGGTTGTAACGCTTGAAGGACGCCAATACTGGCAGGTTATGGCGGAGGAAGAGAGGTAGATTGCTCCCATGGGCATATAGCTGAACACATTGAAACGTACCTTCTCGTATTCTTGATTGGGGAACACCCGCCTGTGGCAGGGCATGACTTGAACATCAACATTGTGCTTTGACACCAAATGATATACTGCATCTGGTGTGAGAGGCACTCGACGCTCCCATATTCTCTCCGGATCCTCTCGGCTGTGGAAGGGATAGAGGTTAAGACTCGAGTGACTGATTAATGGTCTGGTGACTTACCGTATAGCGAGTGAAACTCTCCTTCCTGCAGAACGGCGAAGGGAGTTCTGAATGATGGGGATGGTCATGGTAGTGAGTGAGTATGGATTGAAAGGAGAAATGACCCTGCTCGGCTGAAAAGTGGGGTAGTTGAGATCCGAGCCGCGTAGAGGTCGCCCACGTATACATGCCACATATGGT